CGGCTCGGACCCGCGCAGCCTCGTGCTGCAGCTCTGCGACCTGCTGTCGGGGCTGCGCGTGCACGGCGTCGTCTTCGAGGACGACTCGCGCGCGCCCGCCGTCGCGCCCATCCTCGACTTTCTGTCGGCCCAGACCTCGCTGCCCATCGTGGCCGTGCACGGAGGCGCCGCGCTCGTGCTCACGCCCAAGGTGCGCGCGACCCGCGGGGAGCGGGGGCGGGGCCTGCCGCGGGTGGGCGGGGTCTCTGCTGGATAGGGGCCCGGTCTTTGAGGAGTGGGAGCGGATAGGCCAGCCTTTTAGTGGGTGGGCGGGTTCATGTGTAGGTAGTGGGTGGGGCGGGGCGGGGCCTGTGGGGTGAGCAGTGCCTTCTGGGAGAGCCACTTATGAAGGTCAGAAAGGCCACTCCTAGTGTTGAGGACAAATCACCCATCATACAGTGACCCAAGTCACTGTAGGGGAAGGACTACGGAAAGGCGAGTAGAGGAAAGGGGTTGAAACTGGACAAGTGGCAGGGCCAGCCCGCATATGGCAGGAATTAGAGAGAAAAACAGGAGTGGATCTGGGACAACCCGGGGAAGACTTAATTGGAAAGAAATGAGGCAAGACCCAGAATGGCTGGTCAGGGACCAAGAGAAGGGTAATACTGGAGGGAGGACAGGGCATAAAGAAGGGTTCCAGCCCCTAGACAAGTCTAGAGGTCTACTGAAAGGGCAAGGGTTTAACCAGAGAAAGAAGTCTAAAACGAGGAGTCATTAGTGGCGAGAGGTAGAACCAGGCCTCAAGGATGCGAATGTTAGGGCCAGGCTAGCCATCGAAGGACAAGGCTAGGGAGGGGTGGGGCCTAGGCTTGTGATAAAAGGGTGGAGTCTAGAGCTAAAGATGGTCTTGGCCTGTGAGGTTTAAGAAGGCTCTGGAAAAATAAAGGCCTACTATATAAGAGACAGGCCCAGACAATGAAATCTAGGCTCTTGCAGGGAAAGGAAAAGAAAGGCTGGAGCAGGTCAGTTGCACGGGAGAGTTCTACTTCACAGCCTGGCAGAAGGGGCCAGTCTTAGTGGATTTCTGGTGGCAAGGCACAAAAATGGAAATGGACAGAGCCTGGTATACAGACTGACATGGAGTAGGCCAAGAGGCGTGGTCTGTGGGTGGGGCCTATTAGAGGCTGCATGGGGACATGAGATTTGTTGGAGGATGGAGCCATCAGGGTAGATGGCTTCCAAATCAGCTTGTTCGCTGCATTGAGGGCCGCTGACTGTGTAACTGGATCACTTAATGCATGTTGGGATTTGTAGTTCTCCCTAAAGCATCCTGGGAAAGACTTCTGTCAACTTTCTTGTTCTCCTTGGAATGACTTTGTCCAGAGATTTGCAGGCAGGTTTGTAGAGCTGGGACATGAACTTACTGTTTTCTGGCTTCCCACCAGTATATGTGGCCTCTGTTTAATTTCTGAGAGACACTGTGGTTTACTTAGTATAACCTATTGCTTTCTGGGAAATGTAGTCCATTCACTGTCCCAGGATGGAAGAAAGCAGTGATCCTCCTACCTGTATCTGTATCTCACTTAATGCTGGGATATGGAGTACACATTCCACCTGCACTATCCTCTGCGCTGGTAACTACGCACACTGAAAAAGTCTTTTCTCACTGCATTCTGTCAGCTTTGTCTAGGGCTGAGTCTGTACCAGGGCTATCTTAGAGTTGGGGGAATGAAATTGTGGAGGAGTAAAGAACCACCACCCTACCCACAACCTGCAGCCACTGCCTTGCAGAGCTTGCCTGCTAATGATGGAAATACACTTAAGTGAGCCATAGAGAATGAAATCTCTCCTGGAGGAAAATCGACAGGATGTTGGTAGAGGCTGAGGCTTCAGTACATGGCAGCTAGGAGGCCTCCCTGAATTAGTTATCTCTGAGGTGTACCTGAGGAATGAGGAGCTGGAGGCGG